GGGGGGAGTATGGCGAGATGCGAGGATGGAGGGATGGAGGGGGGGAGGGGTGGCGAGATGGGAGGATGGGGGGATGGAGGGAGACTGCTTAACAAGGTCCAAAAAGAAGAAAGAGATGGATGGATGGATGGATGGAGGGGGGGAGGTATGGTGAGATGGGAGGGAGGGAGACTGCTTAACAACGTCCAAGAAGAAGAAGAAGATGGATGGATGGATGGAGGGGGGAAGGGATGGCGAGATGGGAGGGAGGGAGGGATGTCGAGATGGGAGGGAGGGAGGGATGGTGAGATGGGATGATTGAGGATGGTGAGATGGGATGAAGGGAGGGAGGGAGGGATGATGGAGGATGGAGAATGGCAAGATGTGATGGAGGGATGGATGGATGGATGGATGGATGGAGGATGGAGGATGGAGGATGGTGAGATGGGATGGAGGGAGGGAGGGATGGATGGGAGGATGGAGAAAGGCAGGGAGGGAGTAGGGAAGGAGGGGAAGAAGAAGAAGAGAAAAGAAAATACCTAACGAATGGAGCAGAGGAAGAAGAAGAAGAATAAGAAGAAGAAGAAGAAGGGAGGACGACGAGGAGAGAAGAAGGAGAAGACGAAGAAGATGAGTGGAGGAGGGGGAGGAGAACGGCCTCCGTTTTTTTTTTTTTTTTTTTTTTTAACCTGTCGTGTATCACTTGACCTATCAAATGTCGACGAACTAGAAGAAGGAGAAGAAGAAGAAGGAGAAGAAGAAGGAGAAGAAGAAGAAGAAGAAGAGGAGGAGAAAAAAAACGAGTGGGGAAGTTTAAGAAGACGAGAGGAGGAGGAGGAGGAGAAGAAGAAGAAGAAGAAGAAGAAGAAGTAAAAGATGAGCCGAGGAGTTTAGGTGGACATTTTGTCGTATCTCACATAACCTACCGAATGAAGAATAAGAATAAGAAGAAGAAGATGGGGAAGTATGGTTGTGGTAGGGTATGGCGGTGGGGTGTGGTGGTAAGGTATGGCTGCGGTAGAGTATGGAGGTAGGGTATGGCGGCGGTAGGGTATGGAGCAGGTAGGGTATGGCGACAGCGGGGTATGGTGGTAGGGTATGGCGGCGGTAGGGTATGGCGGTAGGGTATGGCGGTAGGGTATGTCGACGGCGGGGTATGGCGGTAGGTTATGGCGGAGGCGGTAGGGTATGAAGAAAGGCACGGAGGTAGTGAATGGAGCAGAAGAAGAAGAAGAAGAGGATCAAGAAACGTCGAGGAGAAAGATGAAAACACAAGGGTGAGGAGGGTAAGAAGAAGACGACGAGAGGACGACGAGAAGAGGAGGAGAAGAAGAAGATATGCGGAGGAGGGGGAGTAGGTTAAGAAGAAGACGAGAGGACGACGAGAAGAGGAGAAGAAGATAAGTGGAGAAGGAGGGGGAGGAGGACGTCCTTCTGTTTTTGTTTTTTTGTTTTTTCACTTGTCGTGTCTCACGTGACCTACCGAATGTTGACAAACTAGAAGATCAAGAAGAAGGAGAAGAAGGAGAAGAAGGAGAAGAAGAACAAGGAGAAGAAGAAGAAGAAGAAGAAGAAGAAGCAGAAGAAGAAGAGGAGGAGAAAGAAAACGAGTGGGGGAGAAGGGGAAGACAACGAAGAAGAAGAGGGGAAGACGAAGAAGACGAGAGGAGGAGGAGGAGGAGAGAAGGAAAAAAAGAAGAAGAAGAAGAAGAAGAAGATGAGCCGAGAAGGGGGGGGGTAGGTGTGTTATGATTCTGGTTGTCTGTTGTCTTAAGACCAACACTCACTCACATAGACTCTCAGGTATACCCATACAGACACAAAAGGAAGGGGAGAGGATAGGAGTATCACACCGCACAGGGACAGATAAGCACAGCGGAGGACTTGACCATGTGATATGACAGGGTACACTGAAAGTGCGATTCACTCCACTCAATCCTCATAATTAGTCATAAAGAAAAGCCGAGTAGATCACATCCAGGAAAACAATGAAACAATGATAGTCCAAACCCAGTATCGCACTGTTTATTAAACCAGAGTCTCGAATTGTCTGAATAACTTCAGAACTATGATGCGCTGCTCAGAAATGAGCAGCGCTTCACTCCCCAACCATGATGAACCGCTATCACTGCCCCTGAGTCCTTGAAACATCAAGCGCCACCGAGATACAACCTCCAAAGGGAAGCGCCACCGTGAAACAGGCCTCACGAAGTGTCGAAAGACTTCCCGAGTGGAAGTTTGCAGCAGGGCCACCAAATCCTGGCAAGATGACCTCTGAGGAAGAAGTTGCAGCTATGGCTGCAGCGCCACTACCCTGTGACCCCACTCTGAAGAAGGGTCCAGCAGGGCACCAACTTCTCTCGCCTCCAGCAGACCTTGATAACCCAGACATCTGACAGCCCCGCGTGCTGGCAGAGTACAGCGCAGGTACCAGCTATGGCCGACGCTCCGAAGGTCTGGCTATGTCTGTCTCCCACAACGCTGAGCCGTCACCACCTCCAGTTCACGCGTAGCAGCAGCGAAGTACTCGGTACCAACTGCCAAAAGCCTTGAGCCGATGTGCCCATCCTATCTATAGACTAAACTAGCTTAGACTCGATCTAGACCGGACTGACTGACCGACCGGTACCGATTCTGTTTCAGCCTCTCGGCCTCTACCTTACCCGGCTATAGGCTATATCATAGGTCTTTAGGGCCTGTCTGTCCTAGGGGTAGCCCGGGCCCGCTATTCGCAGTTAGGGTAGCAGTAGGAAATTCTGTTAGTGTTGGGCCTATGTTTTCCCAAATTTGCGGATATGTCCCTCACGAATCTCCCCTACAGGTAGGTCTCTCTGTTAGCCCTCAGCCAAACAAAATTACGAATTTGTCCTACCTATGGTACAACCTCGACAGAGAGAGGCTACAGGCAACCAGAAACAGCAAGTCATTGCAAACCTACCCTCCCTTGGAGCGAGGACCTCTGAGCTAGGGGCGTAGGCACGCAGAGCGTCGAAGGGATTCTCCCTTCTGCGGTGCCTCATACCTGAGGATAGCAGACTTCGTGGTTTTAAGAAGTTCCTTGTGAGTAAATCAGCGATCTTCATTATGCGGCTGGTATAAGAACTTCACAAGGTACTCCTTATCTGGACCTGTACCTGACTCATACTCCACAGATTCCATCTCATATCCTTTGCCAGGGATAGGGGTCCGAACTGAGGAGGCCTGTCTGGGAATGTACGAGTTGAGGTGAATGGTAACTGCTTAGACGCATGAAAGACAGGGTAGGTTTGTAGATGCAAAGGGACATCCACTGTATAGGATGGTCCAAATGGATCAGCTCGCACTGTATTTAAGACCTCCCATGGACCCATGTATCGTGGCAGCAACTTAGGTGAAATACCAGCCTCTCGTGACAGCTCAAAATGTAGTACCCACACCCAGTCACCTGTGCGAATAGTAGATGGACGTCTGTGCCGGTTAGCCTGCTGAATCATAGCCTTTTGGGCTTTGAGCAAGTTGGCACGGGCGCGCACAATGTCCACAAAGTAACGCCTGGTGAACTCTGCAGTTCCAGTTGTCAGCATCGGGGTAGCCTTATCGATGATGTCATCGAGAGGTTGCCGTGGCCCACGACCCCAATGTAACCGGTAGGGTGTAAAGCTTGTGGAGGAGTGTACAGACGTGTAACATACAAGCTGTGCAAAACCCAAATGGAGATCCCAGTCCTGCTGATCTAGACCGATCACAGCATGCAATAGCTGAAACAAAATCTGGTTCATCACTTCAGCCTGTCCATTGGCTTCAGGATGACGACCAGATGTCATATCCAGTCTAC